AGAACGTGTTTTTTAATTTTATGAACGATGATTGAGTGTGTCATGACTCCATATACTTTTTGTAATTTCTATATGAATTTTGAAATTTACTTCAAAATGTATAAAATATCAAGAATAGCAAAAAATTATCGCGATTGAAAAAGTTCTCTTCAAGTAAGAACTACACTACCTATATTTTTATACTTAGATGTAAATATCAAACATCCTGAGTTGTTTATTTGAATGTGGTTGACAATGTCTCTTATATAGATAATGTATAAAAATCGGACATCTTCAGTGCAAAAATATTCAAATAGTAGTAAAATAAATGAAGTAGAATGAAATATTTGATTAGGTTGAATATGTGGAACGTATATCAGAATATAAATATTGAAACAACTTCATTCGGATCATCGAAGCGAACAATTTTTTTATGGAAAGATATATGTATGATAGCAAGATCAATTAGAAATTAAATATCACAATAAAATTAACTTTCCGGTCTTCACCTGCCCATAGGTACCTTTGCCTGCCATATAGCGGGCGAGTCTCTCAACCTGATCTGTTTAAATCTGTTTAAAATTTGTTTTTCCGTTAACCAGCTGTCGCACCCCTACGAACGACAACCCTCAGAAGTCGAAACTTGTGCGAGCTAAGGATTAACGAGGTCTTACCTTTTAACGTGTGATTCCTAACACNCTATTTTATATATTATATAAATTTTATTAATACGCATCACTGTATACTGTACACATATGAAAAGTGTGTCTGTTTGAATTTGACACAAGCAAGTATCTGCTCAATCATATTCTCGTGTTATTAGTTCCACTTTATGATTTGTCTTTATGAATTATGTTGTGACGGCTTCTCTTCCTTGTGTTACAACCACCACTTGTACTTGCAAGTAGGATTGTCGGAAAGGATAAAAGAATTGGGTCCAAGTACATCATAACCTGCTTCAGATCCGGAAACCATTCGTAGCAGCAGCCTCACGAAAACCAGGCCACCAAACACATTATCCAGCACAAAAAAACATACAGCGAGGAGAAACCAGCAAATCAGGAATAGCACAGCATGATTGGTCGTATCAACGTGTTCCCCCCAATAGGCAGGAACACTTGATGCTCCAAACAGGGAGCTACGCTTGCTTGGCTCCCAACAGGGAGCCTGTAATCAAGCGGAAAAACGGTAACTCCCGCTGAACTGGTGAAGATAGGAAAGATGGGATAGCGTTGGAATGACCTATGAATAGTCCTAGATGACTATTCGCAATGTGGTGAATAAATTTGAGTCCACTGATTCAATTGATGATCGACCAATACCCGTACGTCGACGAAACGCAAGATCTGCTCAAACAATCTCCGCTGTCTGTGAGAGTGTGCAGGAGTATTCGAAGCAGTCGATTTCACATCGCTCACAAAAACTCGGCCTTTTGTAGACCACAACTTGGCGAATTTTGCGTCGAGACTTGGGCCTGCACGCGAACAATATTCAATTGACCCAGGGATTGAAGGTAAACGACCATAGACAACGACGTGTTTTCTCTGAACGGGCTCCGAAGCAGTTGGCAACTCACCCTAATTTTCAACTTCAGGGATGAGAGATATAAGAGGCGAGCACTGTAGGTCGTTGATTACCAAATTCTTTTGGCCTGAATTGGATTATCTGGGCACCAACGATATGTGGTTTCAACAGGGCGGCGCTACAAGTCATACAGGTCATGCCACACGAGCGATTTGAGGGCATGGTGGAGGTGATATGAACTGGCCACCGAGATCGTGCGGTTTGATCCCGTTATACTTTTTCTTGTGGGGTTTTTTTGAGTCGCAGATGTATGCGAATAAGCCACAGAACACAGCGGTTCACAAAGTCAATATAACCCATTTCATCGGTCAAATTCAGCCTGATTTATGCTTCAGAGTCATTGAAAATTGAATGATTCGGATGCGCTCATATGCCAACTCAATGATATCAATAGGTCTTTTAAACGAATAAAACATATCGATGATGTCTCACACACTTTGTTTCATTTAACTTCATAGGAAGCGCTTGATGAAATACTCATTTTATCATAGATAATATCACAATAACTTTCATTTTCTCTTCATTGAGGTGACTAATGATCTGATTCTTATATCCACACTGAAACCGTTATTACTTCTGTGAATGAGATATTGCAATTATATCTGAACAGTTATTAGATAGACAAAACTATATAGAGTATTTCATCACTTCGGACTTCCATTGCCCGTGCCTTCGGGCTCTGTAATACAAAGGAAGGTCTCGAAAAGTAACAAGTCATCATCAAAAATGACCTTCAACGGAATGGTTACTCCAGAGTAATGGTAGAACAGGCTTTAGCTAGAAGACAGCAAGAGCTCCACAAGGAAGAGAAGCCGCCACAACCAGTACTTGTACTTCCCTACATCAGAGGATTATCGGAAAGGATAAGAAGGATTGGGTCCAAGTATAACATCAGGACCTGCTTCAGATCTGTCTATATAGAATTATACATAACATTCAAGTTAATCATAACTTCCTACTGACCCTTTGAATATTTATGTTGAAAGCATTTTTTCTTGATGCCACAAACTAAAGAGAAGTTAACGTTGTCGGTATGATTTTCGTTAATAAAACAGATTTCTTTATTACCAAATCCAAGTTACCGAAACACCAACAATCGATAATCGAGCATACCTACACCTCCAAGGTTCCATATTTCCTGTATTCTTTCAAGTGAATAGTGTAATTATATGCACCTAATAATTAAAATTTATTGGTTTCTTTGATCTTGAAAAATATTATACAAAGATAAAATCCAAAGTCATATCTCTTATTACATACTATGAACCACGAACAACTAGGTCTAGTTCTTGTTTGTTGTACTCACTCATATAAACAATAGATTCATAAATTCATGGATCATTCGCAATTCAATTGGTTTTGTTGACCTCTATTTCTTGGTTTTCATTGCACTTTGGTTGAATTATTCTGATATATTTTTATATTGGGTTGTTTCAAAAGTTTCATCGCTTTTTATGAGTCTACTTCAAACTAAGGCCTCTCGTCTACTGGGAGCAGAAAGATGCGAACTATGAAGCAACGAATTCGTACGAAATCGTACGATGCACATCGTCCATTGCTCAGAATTCGAACGGAATCGTAGTAGGGGAGACGGTTCTTTGGAACAGGTCTTTCAATTATTCTGATGAAGAAATATTCACTTTGATGGGAAACGTGGGTGAATCCCATTTACGCAAAAATAAAGGAGTTCGGTGAATTATCTCATTTGTGGCATGATCATCAAATCGACGATGACCACTACGTTTCTTATTTTCGAATGGAAAGGACATATTTCAATACATTATTGTGACTATTTTAGCACTAGATCGCAATCAAATCCCTGCAGAACGGGATCGGTTTGCTGGGATTTGATCAATGGTCTCCGAAGGCCATCGGGGAAGTTTTAATAGGCAATTCTTTCACAAGATTGTTGTCGCTAAGAACATCTGAGGCTGAGTGATATGTTCACAGATGAGCTCTATGACAGATCGAAACAGTGTTATCTGGTATCGGATCATACATGCAACGTTTCCGGACTCTGTAGTTGAAGGTTTTAAGTAAAATCTATAGAAAGACAGAGATCGATTGCCCAAGTGGTTGTCGATGTTGAAGTTTGACATTGCTACGGACTATTATCAGGAATCGTCGTTCGACTTTCATTATATTCTTTCAGTTTTTGTTTCAATTGTGTTTACAATTAATCTGACGACTTCCATAATTATTCTGAAAAGATAGAGTATCAAGCCGATGGAAGCAACACCAAAGAAGACGGTCCGTCCGACGAAAATATGGACTTGTACCGTATTTCTTTATGGTAACCATACGAGCAGGCATTGAAATTATTTTTAGACTTTGGACAAGGTAATCAGAATTACCGAGTTGGAACCCCTTCAGAAAAAATTTAACAGGAATTAATGTATTGTTGTAGCAACATAAAGGTGAATCGAAGTGTGGGTTTTTTTTAAGAGCATTGAAGTTTTCGGCTTATCATGAACTTACATTCATTTAAGTCAAGTGAACTGAATCAAGAGATCGAGAAGTCTCATAATTTGCTGGATGTTGTCTTCAAAACCTTGATTTACGTTGTGTGTTGAGTATATAGAGGTTAATGAATATAAAAACAAGCTAGTTGAGAGTTGGTACAATATTCCAAATCAAATATCGTTTCTGGAGGCCTTCATATTAGTGTTCTGGACATTTCAACTTGAAACCAATAAACTTTATTACCACTCATTGATATCAAGATTGACTTTATATAGCTCCTCGCATTCATACAGTATGTTTTCAATATCAATCGGGCTTAAGAGAGAAAAGAAAATTGTACTCCTTCAGATATTGTCACTTCTATATACTGTGATATTTAAACACCCCGCAACAGTTTTTCCATGTCTTTATTTACAGTTGATTCATAGAAGTGAACATGGTGATTTCGTTTATGAATATGCCATATATGTAATCGACAGAAAAGTCGAAACTCGTTTATTGGAGGTGAACAATGGTCTCCGAAGGCCATCGCGGAAGTTTTAATAGGCAATTCTTTCACAAGATTGTTGTCGCTAAGAACATCTGAGGTCGAATGGCATGTTCACAGATGAGCTCTATGACAGATCGAAACAGTGTTATCTGGTATCGGATCATACATGCAACGTTTTCAGACTCTGTAGTTGAAAGTTTCAAGTAAAATGTATAGAAAGACAGAGATCGATTGCCCAAGTGGTTGTCGATGTTGAAGTTTGACATTGCTACGGACTATTATCAGGAATCGTCGTTCGACTTTCATGAATAGAATTAGAGTTTCCTATCGATTGCTGATATGTCATCTCTGTATAAGGATTCGTCATGCTTATTTGTAATTGAGGCTTGTCTTTTTTTGCAATTACTTTAACTGGGAACCCTTTCATTATTTTTAAAATAATACATAACTTTCAAAATTTTAATAATTTTCTCTACATTTACAGCAAATAGCGGGATACATACCTGGACAAGATTATCCAATTTACCACGAAGTGCCCCAAGGACTATCTTTCAGATGTGATCAGAGATTACCTGGATATTACAGCGACCCCGAAGCACAATGTCAAGTAAGTTTAATATATAAGCAAGTTTAAACAACAATAATTATCTTATTCAGATCGGAAAGTAATTGCATCTAAAGGCTGACTTTCGACCAAAGACGGTCAGATGTCAATCTTGCTGAAGTGCCCATCAGTAGGACTGACGACCGCTCCAGGAGAGCGGAGGTGGATGGAATGGTGTATTCAGTTTTCCTCACAAAATTTATTTTGTGGGGCGAAGTTTTTACTCCAGGGCACTCAACCCAGGAGGGGTCATTAGTTAACTATTACTGTGATGATTGTGCGGTATTTTGCTTTAGAAATCCTTAACTTGGCGTTTTCTGGTTTATGCAAAATTAGAGATTATGACAATGGGTATTCTGTGTTGGGATTTTTTGTATTTGAGGTTAGTTGGGATGACAAGTTGAGGTGCTGTCAGGATTGGGATTTATGGATTTAGAAATTATGAGTTGTAGTTTTGTATGTGTTTGGTTCACATTTCTCAGGAATTATGATTTAGGGCTCAGTTAGGCATTTTTGGCATTAGGAAGTTGGAAAGTTTTAAGTTATGGATTTATAACAGGTTCAGGAATCGTGCATTAGAGTATTGTAGAAATGAAGTACGTTGGTTCAAAGGTTCTGCCCAATTAATAATTTTGATTTATAAGTTTGAAGCCGTAGAACGTTTTCTATCGCTGTTTCATATATTATTCACAATTATTTTCAACTAATTTTCAATTATTCAGGTACACACTATTTTTGCCAATATTCGTTCATACAAGTTAGTACATTTATCTTCTATGTTCTACTCAGTTTTACATATGGTTTCTGGGCGAAAGGTGTTGGAAAAACTCTACCGGTGAGAAATATTTACTCACGCTGAGTATTTCATGTTAGGCATTGACATTCGATTTAATTTCTGAATTGTACTTAAAGCGATACCATTTTCATGAAATGTTTTTTACAGGTATGGCATTGGTGTTTACCTAATGGTCAGAAATATAGCTTTCTTTGTCCCAATGGAACAGTTTTCAACCAGTTTGCTAGAGTTTGCGACTGGTGGTTCAATGTAGATTGTGCAGCAACTCCCAACTATTATGGAATAAACGAGGATCTCTACAGGATACCCCCCTACACAAATAAACAGAATCAAGAATAGTAGTGGATACCTCCATCAAATCTTTGAATTATGTACAGAAGTGTAATTAACTTATTTATATTTTTTTAAATACACATTTTTCAATGGAAAATATTTTTTATGAAATAAATACATTTTACGATCAATGAATATATTTATTGTCAATGTTACCAAAAAATAATAACGCCATCAAGTTCAGCATTGGTGAAAAAAATTCATAATTGAAAGGTGTTTATATAAAATTACATCCGATACTTACCTTCAATCTGTCATAAGATTTTATCAAATGTATATATATCTACTGATATATAAAAACTGTATACGGCAATGAAAATGTTTTATTAGTACAAAGATAAAACTAAAAAATAAAGGGAAAATACTCATTGAATTGACTAACAAGCTCAACTAACAATGTTGAAAGTATTTATACTTCATACGTGGGAAAATTGTATAATTCATTTTAGGGAATATGTATATAAAAAATATATAAACGGACAAGAAGGGTTACCTTAAAACAATAATATCAGAATATCATTATGAGTAAGAAGAACAATGAAACTTTGAATATATTTTACACATGAATTGAACAATTAAAATGAACTAAAAATAAAAAAAATCAAGCCAAGTTACTTCACGACGTTTCGATTGCTAGTATCCACATTCGTCTTCCGGGTGATGTCTGGACTATTTCCCCGAGAGATGACTATAGGTCATTCGAGTGCTATCACCTATCCCCTCTTTCCGTTTGGCGGGAGTTGACCGTTTTCCACTTGATTATGGGTTTCCATATGTTGCGTATCTCTATGCTAGCTCGACTGAATGCTCGTTAGACATAATATATGCAGCTTCTTTGAATTTTCTTCTAAACCAGTGTTTCAACCTGATGATGATCTTAGCTTGGAACCACTTGATGTTATGTTGATGAGTCTAAACATAATCTGCTATTCCCGATTTGCTGGCTCCTCCTCGCTGTGTATGTTTCTTCTGTTCAGCAATGCGGACTTTCAATGGTCTCTTAGTTTCACCGATGTATGATTCTCCGCACTCACGGGGTATCCGCTAAATGCAATTCTTGGAATCGTAGTCCGCGTTTGGTGGCCTAGTTTTCGTGAGGCTGCTACGGATAGTGTTTGCGGATCTGAAGCAGGTGCTAATGTTGTACTTAGACCCAAATCGTCTTATCCTTTCCAACAATCCTCTGATATAGGGAAGTGTGACGACTTCATAATTCAGATAAGATGCTCTCAAAAGATTAAGGATTACCCTAAGAATAGAAGTGGGACGATAATTACTTATGTCAGATTATGACATACGTAATTATGGCGGATTTTTCATTTCAATTGAATGATTATGCGTCAAAACGAAATAAATATTTTGGTTCGAATAAGGGAAGACGTGTTCATCGAGTCCGACAACTGCAACATGTGCAACACCTCTTTTTTTATGTTTACCAGCTGTCTCCCTTTTACGAACGGCGACCCTTAGAAGTCAAAACTTGTATGAGCCATTGATTTGCAAGTTCTTACCTTTCAACATGCGATTCCTAGTACGGGTCAGATGGTACGCAGTGAAAATGAAAAATCCTATAGCTGGACTTGAACCAACTTTCACATAGCGGTTGATTGAATGAGAAAAACGAATCATTCACGTTAAGCAACAGGTCACCGAAGTACATAATTTCTTTTATGTTTTTATGCTGAGCATAAAAGAAAATGCCGCTGTGGCAAAACAGATGACTCTACAGTTGCAAAACATGATATTGACTTCGAAAGCATGCAAGTTCTTGATAAAACCAGAGGGTACTACCCGAGGCCATATAAATACTTAAACATAAGAATAATTTCAACCGTAAGGAAGAGAGCTCAAACATTAACAAGACATAGATACCGGCACTTCATAAGACAAAGATTTTCGCAATGATTGAAGAATGATCGGACCAATCAGGTAGAAGAGTAGCCATCCGACACCTAGTCTCATTATGAGCACACACCCACTAGAACTTTTTTCCAGGTAGTTCACTTCGACCGTTGCCGCTTCGCCTTTGAGTATGTCTACCGGACAGTCAAGTGGCGTTGGAGCTTTTGGCTCCTACCGAGCAACGTCTAAATTGGTAGCAAATTGCCAAAAACGACTCTCCTCAATAGGAAGACTCAACAGATTGTCTCTGGTCTGGATTCCTGGCCATACTGGCCTGGAAGGCAATGAGGCTGTTGACTCCTTTGCAAATGAGGTTGCTACAAGCAGCTTCATCGGACCAGTACCTGTCATTGGCATCGCTTTACGCTTTGCCAAACAAACATTCACCCTTCAAAGCTTGATACTAAACAGTTGTTGGACTTCAGTAAGAATGAACTACGATGTCTAACAGGTCTTCTTACTGTCACTGTCGTTTGAATCATCGTATGCAAAGACTCGGACTGTCGGAGGACAGTGTGTGTGGCCTCTGTTTGGAAAATGATGAAACAGCAGAACACATACTATGTGCCTGCCCCGCTGGGGTCCGAATCAAGTTTTTAGAGTTCGGCAGAGCCGTACTCTTACCACCTGACTTGAAAAACCACTCACCATACAAACTTATCGGATTCGTTAAGAAGCTGGGTTTGGTTGAGTGTGAATAGGTGTGAGCCTCAATAAACCCCTGCGGGTTGCGGTGGAGGGTCTAATAAATCGACTCACTTTGGCCCAAATCTAACCTAACATGTCTACGGCAGTAGCAAACGAAACGTCAGGTATAAAAACTTGCAGACCACGGCTAATAAACCCGGAAACATCGTACAATTTGTTAGGCACCGGCCGTAAAAGCCTACACACTATGATCAATTTAAAGATTGTTATCACGTATCAAAATTATTCCCATTACCTTTACATTACTAATACATTTGAGTTTTCCTTGTCTTTTTTGGGGGCTTTCACTTTTCACTCATATTTTTCAGAAAAAAAATGAGACATTCAATAGTAACGTGTCGAATTTGATAATTTTGTCTATCAAGAAAGCTATAAATCCTTATGAGATTTCGTGAATCATATCAAGCTGAATTTTTTCCAATGAACTCAGGTTTTTATTTTCGATACCAATTAACGTCCACATTTGAATAAAAAACGTAGAAATGAAAACTGATTACCTGTGTTTCATACAGTTTCTGCAAAATAAACGATACATTTATAATATGCTTAACAAAAAACACGGATTTCGAAACAGAACAATACTACCGTATATTTGAGAACTTTTTCCTTCTGACACGAAAAGCTACTTAGTTCCAAGTTTTTTTGTCGATATAACGAAGAGAGTATTGCGTTTATCAAGTAATCTCAATACGTGTCAGTTTGACAAATATTTGACAGTTTTACATGAATATTATTTTTATATATATGGATGTTCTTACTTTTGCAAGATCCTGAACGAGATGGATATTTTCATGACCCCGAATGACAAATTTCGATGCATTTGCATGGCTTGAAACTGTGAGTACAAAAAATATCAGACGAATATCTATCTACCTAATGATTTTTTTCTAGCTTGACAGCGTTGATCGTCATATTAGGAAACGCAATTCACCCATCTAGTTTAGATCGTAATTCTACTCAACAATTTTTCAACGAAGTAGCTGACTTCGATGACGTAATCGAGCTCGAAAAAGATAGTATTGTTAATTTTAAAGAATCCTCTAGAAATCATGAGTCAGGACAAAGTGTAGTACAAAGATCCGATATGTTTGAAAACCCAAAAGTTATATCATCTTCGAGAATAAAAACCGATGTGCAAGGTGTTGAGAACGGATTATCAAATTCTTTCAACACATACCAGATATCACCGTCTGAAGAATCGAAAGAAAATATTCCTTTTCAATCCCAACCCCAGAATCAGCCTGAAATAATTTTCGAAACTCCAGTTCTATATGAAGTTGGGGACCGTTCTCAACGACAAGGATACTTTATGGTTAAACAAAAACAACTCGAAGGTATTCCCCATATTCACGAAACTCCTACTCATCAAAACACTCACGAATGTGGCAGAGTTGAAACAGTAAATTCGAATTTGAATCATGAGACTAGTGATGATTCTGAAGAAATACCTCAAAATATAAATAACTGTTATGATGACAACAACTCCAAAAATCGAAATCTACATAATTTGGAACACAAACATGAAACCTTACAAGGTGAGTATTACTGGTAGAAGTTAATTGTTCGTTTTATATTTTATTTTTAAATCTCATTATTTCTTAGGCAAATTAAATTTTTGGCTGCTCTGGCTTCTAAAATTGTTTCTAACATTTATGCAAAGCGACATGAACCAGGAAGTGAAAATTAGATTATGACATATATCAAGTCAATGTTTACTGTCATTCATTCATATTATACAGTATGTCTAAACTTGTATTTTGAGGTGATTCATGATTTGATAAGCTTCTTCGTACCTCACTTCCTATAAAATTGGATAACTTCAATATTATGAGCTATGTTTACCTAATTCAGTGACTGTTTCACTCAGGAATTTCAAAAATCAGATTTGAAATTTTTACCGTAATTTTACGTATACCCCCGTATTTTTTATTTTGCTACTTGAGCACAGATATGATACCATCATGTGCTGATGCTGAAGAATTCCTTTTCAAAAGTCAAAAATTTCTAAAATATGGTTATTATGATTTCACCATAAATTCAGTAGTTCAGTTTATTGTATTAGTTTGGAAATGTCCCTATAGGATGAAACTGCAGTAACGTTAGTTAAAAATACAAGTGGTAGGTATAAAAAAACACAGGAAGTTTTATTTCCCATTGTTTATGATGATCTACTACCACGCAGTAACGGCTACATCCATCAGTTTATTGAAATGGTCTATATATTTCCAACTTGGGTAGCGAGGTCACATCATTGATATTGAATTATATTTTCAAAATATTCATGTATTGAATAAATCAAAATATTAACAATACTGGTAATAAGCAGTTACAGTATGAAAAATTACACGAAACATTGAGTATTGTTCTAGTAGTAATAATCTTATACTTTTTTAAAATCACCTGGTTCAAGACTTCTACGTATCTATCCGGTGCAGCCAATCCCGAGGATAGTGATTATTCCCGTGATAAATATTATGGTAAACTTTAAATTCGATATTTCATGATAAAATATTATAAAGTGACGAAAGATATTAATAAAATAAAAACACGAAATAAGAACACGAAGTGTTCTGGCGATGCATTGAATTTATTGGAGCCTCTGCCCACATAGCANCGCCCCGGAGCGCCAATTAATTTTTATTGTTGTTTTTATTTTATTTTTATCGTTGTTTCAATAAAACTTTAGTATAAAATCAAGTATTTCCTGTAGACATTAAATCTGTGATCTGTAGACATAAAATTGGAATGTAAGAAATTTTACCTTTTCAGCATGTCGACTTTTCCTAATGGTGTCAGTCATTTGTACTAAAAAAACGAATTTTGCAATAAGTATTTTTCATAAAACTTCTCTTTGTTAATTTGAATGATGTGACTGATGTTGATGATCGAAATTATACAATATTCTACTAAATTCAAATATCTCATTTCCTTATTTGAAAATACATCACATTTGAACATTATACGGAGCGCTCATTTAGGGGTGACAATTTCATGACCCGTTATTATATTAATAAAAGTAATATTTTTCAGACCGTGCCGATACTGCTGATCATGAAAAAGTTTGCAATAAACTTATCCAACTATTTCATGAAATTCCTCTCGTGGAACAAATGATGAAAGAAATATTGAAAAGTAACGATCCTCAAGCAATGAACAACAACTGGAAATCGATAAAATGCATAATTCGCGAGCAAAGACCAAATATTGCAAAAAGTGATCTGCTCGAAAGACCGGAAACTAAAAATTGTTTCCAAAGATACATGAGAAGACGTAGGAGAAAACGTCATAGCACATACATTAACTTAAGAAACCCACGCAAAAAGATAAATAATAATTTGGCCAAGAGGAATGCCAAGGATGATCCTCGATTTAGGAATATCATCGATTTCATAATCAAAAACAAGGAATTTCTGGATAAATATACGTACGTACCAGTGGTTTTTGCAACAATAAGAGATTCTACTTATAAAGAGAAGGAATCAATGACTACATCACCTGAAAGTTACACACAACCGATAAACCCATCACAGCTATTCGGAAATTCTACTGCTTCTTCTTCAACCCTTCCAACTCAAACGGGCTATGTAATGACCACTCAGTCAGGTCAATCAACTCAAATCAGCACATTTGGAAATACTAGTATTTACTTTAACACTACTGCCACAAATGAAGGAAAATCCCAATTGACACCGAGCCAGTTAGTAGACTCTAGTCAAGTTGTTACACATAAAGGACCTTCAGTAGTGATTGCCCAAGAAAATCCAGTAATTTCTCAACAAGCTAGAAATTTGACAAACGAACTCAATTTCCGTATACCCAAGCTCAAAAGAACTTTTCAGGATATCATGGAAATCATGAATAGCCAACCTAGTGTGAACAGAATGAAGAAAGAGATTGCTACACAACCAATTTTGTTCTCAAATTCAGCAGAAAAAATGTCATCTCTCTCACCGAACATCGCCACACGTCCAAACGAACCAACTATTGCGTACTTGAATCAGTCAAAATTGATTGTGTTTCCAGATATTCATATGGGCCAACAATCAGAGAAGGCCGATTCTCCTGAGATCCAAAAAATAGTAAATGTCTTATCGATAATACTTCCTCCTCAAAATAATAATAACTCAATACCAAACTTCCCAGTCCCCAACCCTGCTCTCAGTTCAATTTCCACCTCTAGTCCCAATTCAACTGTTGAAACTAGTGTCAATTCAAATACTAACTCTGATTTCAATTCCACTCCTAATTCAGGTCTTAGTTCAACAAGTAATTCTGGCATCAATTCAACTATCAAGTTTACTCTCAATTCTCAAACTTTCAATCATAGTTCCAATTTATCTTCTATTTCTGGTCTCAGTTCAACTTCCATATATGGACTCAGTTCAACTGCGACCTATAATCTCAGTTCAATACTCAATTCTGGTATAAGCTCAATTCCCAACTCTACTATCAATTTAACTCAGAATGGTCTCAAATCTTTCAATGAGAGTGATATGATACCCGGTGTTCTAATCTATCCAATCGCTGATAAAAATAACAAGACCAAAAGGAATATTTTCAATCTTTTGGATAAGGACGAAACAGCTGAACATGTAACCTTTGGTAATGATGTATTAGAAGAACAAATGAGCCTTGACAGTTTGGATACAAATGTCAATCAAAAAGTAAGTACAAACTTTCTTTCGGAAACTCAAACATTTAATATTTTACCTCACCAGAAAGTGGTACAGAAAATTTGTAATAACCAGAAAAATGTACTTGCCATATTCAATGCTATTTTGTGATTTCCAAAGTTTGCACTTCTTAAAAAAATTTTCTAAACAATAAATATTATAACGGGTCTTCCAACAGAGACTCCTGAATTTTGACAATTGAAAACGGCCATCTTGTTGAAATTACATTTGTCAAATTAGTTGTCATTTATCCAGTCTGTTTTGTCAAATCACCATGGACGGATATAGCATTCAACAACACATGCAAATAATAAAATTGTTTTATCAAAATGGGTGTTCTGTTCGGGCAAAGTACCGCGCGCTTCGCCGCTGTCTGTGAGAGTGTGCAGGAGAATCCGAGGCAATCGATTTCGCTTCGATCACAAGAGAAGAGAAGAGACCACAACCACAGAGAAGCCGTGGCGGACATTTGAACGATGGTATATTCCACACAAATGGCATCAATAGGTCTCTTCAATGAATACAAACATTCGAATATATCTCACACACACTTTGTTTCATTTCAATCTAAAAATAAGAAGACCGTATAGATACCGAAATCTAATTTATAAAACAATGTCGATAAATCGTATTAGTTACACCATTTATAACACAAGAATGGTTGAACCGGTTTTCGTAATATTTAAATTGTTGGATTTTTCTCCGCTCGAAATACTAGACTAACTATTAAAACGTTTTCAGAAAAAAAAATATACAAATTGTTCGATTTATTAGGTTATGGCAGTCGTAATAGTGCGCGCAAAAACAACTGAGGTTATGACATTTGTATTTGTGCGCCAATGTCAAAATAGAAGCAAAATTTTCTTATAATGCCTCGAGAAAGAAAATCTCAACAAGATCACAACAAAGCCTCAATACAGGAAGATAACTCAGCTTACTTTCTATAATAATCAATAAGTGACTGTAAATAATGGCATTTTCCAAGTATGTAATATGTATCTATAAAGTATATTTTCTATTTTTAGAAGATATCAATCATCTATTTTTCTGGCACGGAATCTATTACTGAACATGAAAATGACCCAGCAACACTAGTCGTGTTAGTATGGCCCGACTTTGTGCTCCACAAACACAATATAAAAAATTTATTACAATATCAAATACTTCTAAGGTGATACGGAGTTCGACGGGGCAGCAAGTGTAAAATTTAATCAGAATACATGTTGATCAAACTTATACACAATAGTTCATTATATAATTCTATGACGGTAAATAACTGATCTTACAAAAATTCATGAATAGGTAACGATATCCAGTTCTTTTTGTATGGGGACTCACAGCCAATTCTAAACAACCTATATTTCACATTTGATGACATATACAGGGTGTGTCAGCGATGAGTGGGTGGAAGATAATTGCTTTCCTATTCAAGACATAAAAAAAACTATCAATATTCGGGGTGTTCAATGAATGTGGTTTTGAAGGAACATCCTATATATTTTTATTAGATTTAATTCCAATTTTTGGAACGGGCACACTTGCAGATCGGTTTCCGGCTTCTAAGCCACACGTCAGTGCAACATAGTGACCATCATCGACCTAAAGTCAATGATATTCCAAAATTGAAAATCGAAATTTTTTCAGAGTATTTCATTCCTCGTGATAAGTTGGAGCGAACATTTACTGTTAATACATTTTTATGTGTTTTGGACAGTCATATACTCATTATTTATATCAATTTATAAACTAACATACACGAATAGTCTTATACCACCGTCAGTGATGTATAATATGATTATTATTGAAACACGTTTTGTAATGTTATGATATTTTATTTTATATTCTGTTCGTATGTGTATGTAATAATGATGTGTGATATTCATAATATGTCCCACTGGTTGGAATCAGCTTATTTAATATCTACACGAAATTTAGTTCACCTCTGTTATTTCATATCACCCTTGGAACATTTGAATGCTACAAGAATTCTCAACAAACTTGACATTTGATAATAAAAAAGGTGGAAGAAAGAGAAAAAAAGGTTCTTTCAATCGTGGAAGAAAGAAAATAAAAATTAGCGATGACCGTGACTTGTGACAATCATCAGTCAATGACCTCTCTTTAGGCTTATGTTATCTGGAGATAAGTCAATGGGCAAGTCTATTGTAAGAAACCAACGACACTAGAAAAAATAATCAGAAAAGTCTTTAGCTCTATTATAAGATACGTTTCTACTACAGCTCGGAAAGCATAGCTCAAAATGGACGAATATTTGAACATCTCTTGTATATTTATGCTCTTTAAAATTATTTGATTTAATTTTGTTGCATATTTTTCCTAGCATTGTATTAAAATCTAATAATAATGCATTGAGTTGACAGTGTTTTCATTCTTCCTTTAAGAATAAGATATATTTTTGATATAAATCAAGTAGTCAAACCCTACTTTTCTGAAAGCTCATAGTGGTTTTTTTACCTTGTTTACAGAATATTCCATTTGAGAAACCTGAAAAAAGTGATCCCGCATGTTCTAATATTTAATCGAATAGGGAATATCGATTATTGAATTAGATTTCACCATGCATTATAATGAAGTAAACAAATTCACAAGCTGATAATTCACCATTGTTTACGTTCAAACTCTTAAGATATAGTTGATTTTGTGTTGTGCTATCCCTGCTTGCAAATTTTGTCAAAGTCGCATATTTTCGGGATTATTGAATGATACCAAAAAATTGACTCTAATTTCATTAGTTCTGCAAACATAGGTATGTGAAAAACTGAGAACATTTCTGAATTTTATTTTTGCTCCATCTCCTTTTCCTTTATTTGCAGAAGTATCTACAGTCTATTCACATGTTGTTATTGAAACTTTCATTGTACTATCAAAATATAATCATAGAATTTTTATACAGGTTATCGTCCGACAAGGGGAAACCCTGAAATTTTATAAACGGACCTGTATTTTTGTAGCAATTTCTTGATCAGTAATGTTCGTATAATATCGTGAAATTACGGTTTTTTCGATATCCTGAAGAGTTTTGATAATTTGATGATGATCACGGCCCTGATAAGAATTATTTCTCAGAAAGAAATTTACTATCCAAAACAGCTGATACAAAATAAAATAAATTTTTTTCAACTACATAATAATACAGAAAACAAACTCTATCTAATTTTTTCAAAATTATGTACCAACACGTAGGAGCATATCATTTTTGAAGCGAAATGACAGTGCAATACAAATGAGATTTGATTTCCATCATTGATTATTTACTAACATGAAAAAACTGGCAAAAAGATACCACAGTTCATTTCTCAAGTAACTTCGAAACTACGAACAGGGCTTTTATTATTATTTTTTGGAATATGACACTTCTTTGTGAAAATTTATAAGAGCCTTGAATCAAGAAAGATTCATTCAGAGTTTAAGGTCAGTTTCAGTTCATTTTTTTCAACAATAAATTCTACTACTTATGAAAACCTCACTGTAAATATTAGAGGTTTGCTTTATCAACATATTTCAGGTACTTACTGAAGTTTTTGTCAATCATTTGAGGTACATAGAGTAAGAATAGCCTATTCGAGCGATTATCAGGCCAGTAATAAAAAATCATAAATCATTTGATGATCATCAAATTACCAAAACACTTGGGAATATCGTTAACTCCACAATATTACATAACAATAACCAGTCGAAAAATTGCCACAAAAAATAAATGCCCGTATCTGAAACTTCGAAGTCCAATGACACCTTGTATGAATGAAAGTTTCAACTTTCATAACCATATTCTGATTTCCAATATTCCTCCAGATAAAAAAACACAGTAAAAATATAATTTCGATATTTCCGATTTTCCGTATATCTCCGAAATCAAATAACTAAAGTCAATTTTTTAGTATCATTCAATAGCAATCGGAAATTGGCAACTTTGGCTACGATTTAACTTACTCTCTATCTCTTATCGTTTACGAGATTTCCACTACATATGGACTCGAATTTGAATAGCTATGTATATATTCTTATGTAATCTGTGGCAAAAATAAAAACAATTATTACTTATAATTCCGATAAATGATAAATATAAAAATTGAACTGACATGTCGCAAAGTTTCTACTAAACTTATTGGCTAGGTATTCAGTAGGTCGCGACACTGAAAAGGTTAAGAAACTTTTTCTCATATATCACCTCTTCTCTCACTATACGAATATGAAATCAACTGTTTTTTTATTTTCAGTATTTCGATCTCTATCCGCCGCCAAAACTGAAAAAAGAAGCCAATGACTGCCAAAATGAGACTGAAGAAATGTTAAATGTTCTCAAAAGTTTGAACATGAGGATGCCAGAAGACACAGACTCGTCAAAGAAAGATTTAAAAGACACTTTAGGATCCTTGCCCAAGTTGTCAAATAACTTAAACGAAGAAACAATTCAGTCGATCGAAACCACAGAACATACAATGGAAACCGAACCACCAAATGCACCTGATGCTCCGGATTTCAGCTCTCTTTCTAGTGTGAACATGACAAAACTCCTGGAAATTAATCCTGGTGAAATAGGAAGGGGATATGGAAGAACTTCCTTTAAAAAAGGAAAGATTGATTCATACCTGAATATAGGCAACTCATCCAATTCAACTCTGAATATTGAAGAATGGTGTGCAACATCATTGGGAATAGAAAAAGCAAATGATTCAGTAACTGATACGATTTCATCTGTTAAAGAATATTCTCGTCCTGGTCATTATAAGACTCCCCCATCTGGTATGAGTACAACTGAAATAATATCTGATATTTTTTCTTCTTCTCAAGGTACCACTTCATCAGTGAATAATATCCCTAAAGAGTTATCAGTATCGGCACCATCGAATAGTTATAATACGTCAACAGTGACAACTATTACTACCACCTTCAGGCAAAATTCTGAGGTTACTACTTCCAAAAGTAGTAGTACCGTAAAAGAGTCGATAGATGCTTCATCAAATTCTGTAAAGCTGAGAGATATGACATCCAAGTTGAAACGTCTTCAGAAAGACTTGAAACTTGTGAATGAAGTACAAAATATCTTAAACGGAATTAACGAACTGGAACATAGACAAAAGAAAAGAAGCTTACCTTTCGAAGATCTCAGCACATACAGCACCGAGAAACCTATATTCGAGTTGAACTTTAAACTTGTTTCGGAAATACCTGACAAAGAAAAAGAAATCAGCGGTCTAGGCAAAATTTTGAATTGGAAATCCAAAACAGACCAAAAAACTCCCGGCGAAAAATGTCGCAGTAAACGAAGAACGAGAAAAAGGAAAAGAAAGCGCAAAAGAAAGCACAGGCCTCACTCCAGAAATCGTCGTTTTTTAGGCCAACGCTCTCAAAATTTTCAGTGAATATGATATCAGGAGAAGGGGATGCTTATGTAACCACTGAAGGTTATTCTATATATAGCTCTGAGGATGTTATAAATCACTTCGGAGACTTATTTCATAATCTCAGAACCCAACAAAAAGGAGGACAACATTCTAAATTGATGTTGAAGAGGTCACCTAGTGCAACAGAACCATTTGGTTTTGCTTGGCCTGGTGGTAGACCAAAAAAAACCAAGCCAAGAAAATGGACTAGCAAGATTAGTGAAAAAACTAAGCAGCCGAGCACATCGGGACAACATGAATTCTCGTGGCCGAAAAGATTATACAAGAATAAAAATAAGATGAAGGAGCTCACTACAACCACAAAACAAGTGGCATCCTCTGGTGGTATTATTTGGAGAAAATTCAACTGGAATACTGAACCAACAAACAAAAATCATTTTGATGAAGGTAAGAGTTCAGAATAACACTTTCATTCAATTATATTGATTCACTGTTCAATTTCAACTATTTGGGTCCTGCTCCAGATCTCACCTTGCATTCTTAAATTTGATGTAGTTTATTTATAATCATTTCAATATAATATATTTGCGGTATGCAGATATATGGAAGACAAACTGACTTGGAAAAATGTTTCCATATCGCAAATACAATGTATGTATATTACATACAATACAACTCTCTTACATTTTACGTCAAGATCAGGATCACTCATGAAATAACATTGAATGAACTAAGAACTGTTGGTATTCGTAGAGTCTTGTTAGAATGGTTGTCTAGTTTTTCATCAGATAGATATGAGACGAAAATAAATGAATAATAATACTAATGATCTTTATCAATCCCAAGAAACAATAATGTTTATAACAGAGATAAAATTCAAAAATTCACATACAGTAGAATCCGGATATAACGACGTTCAAGGGACCGGACACGCACAAAACGGATTAATTTTGTGGTAGTAAAGTGAACATTAGTTCACTAATCTTTCATTTAGCTGTTCGGATCGCTGATCGAAAGGTGAATAAAACATTTTATAGGAATCACATATGCTTTATTTTAATAGTTCTTAAATATACTAATGTACAAACATACCTATATACTTGCATTATGTAGTGTAATACAAAGAGATAAAATACATACGCAATGCACGAAAAAACTGTGTTTCTTACGTAGAAAGGCTGTTATCATTTTCAGGGCCAGGTTTTTACGAAAATGTGATTTCAAAGCTCGAATAATTCCTCGGTCCATGGGTTGCAACACTGATGTCGTGTTTGGAGGCAAAAACACCAGGGTTATGCTTTTCAAGTCTGTAATATGGGGATTTGCTGGACAGTTGTCAACTTACAGCAGGATTTTCTTGTTCTTTTTCGTAAGTTCATGCTCCCATGCGCGTACCCATTTGGTAAAAATGTCAGCCGTCATCCAGGCTCTTCGATTGCTCTCATAATCCACTGGCAAATGCCGTACATTTTTAAAACATCGAGCACGTTGAGACTTTTCTTTCAATGTGCCCGTCATGTTGACTGCCACCATCACAGTTATTCTCTCTTTTGATAATTTTCTTCCTGTACATTTTTCACCTTAAAATTTCAACGTCTTGTCCAGGGTTAATTTATAAAACAGCCCGGTTTCATCTGCATTAAAAATTTCATCATCTCTAAATTGCGCACATAGAGTAGGCCAAACTTGTTCTAACCAATCGATTACATCACTTTGTTGAACTGACATAGACTCGCCAGCAATCTTACCACAGACGATGTTGTGTCTCACCTTAAAATGGTTTATCCAACTCATGGAACATGTGAAATTTTGCATGTCTAACTGTCTAGCAAAAAAGTTTGCTTTCTCTTGTAGCAGAGGTCCATTAAGGGGTATTCTTCGGTTGAAGCTTAAATCACTGTAACAATGCCTTATCCAACTGCTCATGAGTAGAAGTCCTTACACGTTTGCAGTTCAAAATATTGGCATTGAACAACGACTCGATCTTATCTTTATCCTTTTCAATTGTGGATATTGTAGAATGGGATAGGCCACACTCCTTTGCGAGGGCTGCATTTGATTCACCGGCTTCTAATCGGTGTAATATTGCACTTTTTTCATCAATTACAAAACACTTTCGCTTCACAGAATTCATTTTGTCGAACTTTATGAAGTTACAAGTGACAAAGACTTCATACTGGAACCTCTGGCGCAAAATCAATCTATTAAGAGCTGTTAGTAGTACCTATCAATCGAGGTACCTAAGAATACTACCTGTTAGTAGTATCAATCGAGGTACCTAAGAAGAGAGAGTGCGCCAAGGTATTGGTGCGCTGATTGTGTAAACAAAACATAGCGCGACGTTTTAACCGGATGTATTATCATGAAAAACGGTCGCTATAAGCGGTTGGTCGCTTAAACCGGAGTCGCACTAAACGGTATATTTTGTCAATAACTAAATATGAAACTAAACTTGGTTAAACATTATCGTCGTTGTAAACGGATAGTCGTTATAAGCGAAGTCGTTATATATGAATTCTACTGTAGTAATTGAATACATTATTGAAATACTCGCACTAATCAATTAAGTGTACAGCACATATAAATGAATATGAAGGTTATCGAGTGTCTTGATATAGATACAGAAGTTATTAATTGAACATATCCCTCCAGATAGTGGCAAACCATAGACACGTGTTTCGAGCTTTTGGCCCATCATCAGTACGGTGCAGCCAAGTGTAAGGATCGGCAACACTTGGTTGCCAGAAGAAATCAATATAAATGCATGGAGCCACCAGCAGGAGCCAGCCGCTGGTTTAGAAACCCTGTGAATTATATCTGATTTAATTTCATAACGAATGTTTATTATACTGCAGGAAAAATAACACGATCAAGTATTGAAGATGAATTGATAAAAACCTAGATGAGTAAATATTTGTGTAGGACCTATTTTCATAACCGTGAATCTAGAAGATTTATTAGGAAATTTCAAAAAACACTTCATTGTGGGATTTTCACTAAACAGTTTTATAAAAACGCAACACGTGTTTCTCCATACTATGGCTTCTTCGGGTGTGTCGTATTACACCCGAAGGGCGTAAACTCCATTACAAAGAACCATTACTGATTCTACTATCAAGTTTTGAGATCTTATCGGTTCACCAAGAACAGCTGAAGTCTTGAAAAAAAAATTAAAATAAAATAGTGTCATTCTTATGTTTTTTGCTACTTGGGGAGGTTGTCTGGCGTGTTTATTTCTTCCAAATCTCCGCATGTTAAATAGATAGTGGACTTTGTAGTCTTCCTAGATATCACCACAACTCATCACATTTTTATCTTTACCTTATCTTATTTTTTATTGTTAACTCTGCTGAAAATTCAGAGTTCTGATGATAATCCTTGTGGCTGATTTTTGCGTGACTGAACAAACTATGCATGCAGTGTTTTGTATTTATAATCTAAGTCAATTATCTATCACTCTGTTCAAACCAAAGTCTCTACTTCATGACCTTTTTCTGAAGATTTTTCATCTGTCTGAGACTTGAAATTGAATCGATTGAAATAATAATAAATAATTTCCAAGAAGAAGCAACAAATCACCAGCTAAACATCAAATTATTTTCCTCTGAGAAATATATGTACTCTCCAGTAATTTGAATTTGATCTTAACTTTATTTCTGTCTGTTGACCTTGTGGATACTGAAAATATCTTAAATATACAAACTTTGATGCCTACACCGAATGTTTTCCTTGTTTTCCAGATATACGTAAGGCAGAAAATGAACTGGGTCAAGTATCTTCAGAAGAAATAACAGTTGTGGGACCTGTGGATTACTATTCCAGAAAGAGTGAAACAAGCAGAATAGGATCAAACTTCAATCAGTATGAGGATTATGATCAAACTGACCAAATTTATTTGATGAACATTGAGTCAGGTTCAGGACAAAGTGAAATCACAACAAGTTCTGAAACTGTAGATGATAGATCGAGGGGAATAGTACTGAATGATGAAGATAATGAAAATACATTCACGGTATATGAAGAGCTTGTAACTCCGGAAAATCGGGAAGAAATGTTAGAAACAACCCAAACACTAATCGAAGAAATCAAACAAGATGAATACACTGTCAATGCAGACGAAGAAACGACAAATAATGACATTGATGCCCTAAACCCCGAAGAAAAAAAGAAACTTTTTCAGTTAGCTGATGAACTACTGAAAGATTTCAGAACTCTCACTAAAACCAAAGGGTATGGGTCAACTGAAGTTACGAGCCAGATTTCCAAAGTGAAATCTGAAGATGAGGAAGGTATATCAGAAATGAACAGAACTGATAAAAAATCAAAAGTTATTGAGCCTGTGACCACTGAAATTGTGACAACGGCAGTAAGACCTGAAACAGGAAGCCAAGAATGGCAACAATACAGTTTAACTGAAGTGACTACTAATCGGTCTTTCAAAGTGGCAACTGAAGAGGAAAAAGAAACTCAAACCAGTGAAGACTCAGACGTTAATGATAAGCCTGAGACCACAGAAATGAGGACAGCAATAACAAAGAAATATGTGACTGAGGTGAAAAAAGAAACAATCAAAGTAGAATCTGAACAGGAAGTAGAAACATCAGGAGGTGGTTTGAATGAAACCAGTGGAACATCTATACTTACTGAACCTAGGGCCACCAAAATTATTACAACGGTAATTAAAAAGTATACCACTAAGTTAGAACCTGAAATGAGAACCAAAGATTGGCAACAATACGGTTTGACTGAAATCACTAATCAGACTTCCAAAGTGGAATCTGAAAAGCAAGAAGAAATATCCGAAGATGGCGAGAGCAAAACTAGTGAGAAATCAGAAGGTACTAGGAAGGAAGGTGTAACTGAAATAAGAAGCGAAGAACTGCAACGATACAGTTTGACTAAAATTACTAGTCAGGCTTCCAAAGTTGAACCTGAGGAAGGAATAGAAACAACAGAAAGTATAATGAACAGAAGTACTGAAAAATCGGAAGTCCCTGTGAAACCTGAAGAAGTGAAAATATCAGAAGGAGGCGTGAGCGAAACTAGCGAGATATTTAAAGTTACTGAGCCTGAAACCACCGAAATTATGATAAGTGTATCAAAAAAATATGTGGCCAAGGCAAAACCTGAAATAAAAAGTTTGGAATGGCAACAATACAGTTCCACTGAAATTACCAGTCAGGCTTCCAGAGTGGGACCAGAGAAGGAAGTGGAAACTTCAGAAGGTAGAGTCAGTGAAACTACAGAAAAAGCGGAAGTTACTGAGCCTCACACCACTGAAAATATGACAACTGTAACCAAAAAATATACGACTAAGATAAAACCTGAATTCAGAAGCGAAAGATTGCAACAATACAGTTTATCGGAAATTGTAAGTCAGACTTCCGAAACGGAACCTGAAGAGGAAGTGGAGTCATCGGAAGATAGAATGAGAGGAACAATTGAAAAATTGAAATTTACTGGGTCTGAGACCACTGAAAGTACGGCAACTGTCAGCACTAGTCAGGCTTCCATATTGAAACCTGAGGAGGAGGAGGAAACATCAGAAGGTAGAAGGAGCAGAATTACTGAAGAAGTTACTGAGCCTGATATCTCTGAAAATATGACAACTGTAACCACACAATATGTGACCAAGGTGAAACCTGAAATGAAAAACAAAGAATTACAATATAGTTCAACGGAAATCACTGGTCATGCTTCCAGAGTGGAATCTGAGGAGGAAGTGGAAAATTTAGAAGGTAGAACCAGCGGATCTACTGAAAAATCTGAAGTTAATGAGCCTGAGATCACTGAAAATGTGAGAACTGTAACCAGAAAATATGTGACCAAGGTGAAACCTGAAATGAAAAACAAAGAATGGCTGCAATACAGTACAACGGAAATTTCTAGTCAGGCTTACAGAGTGGAACCTGAGGGGGAAGTGGATACTTTAGAAGGTAGAACCAGCGGAATTACTGAAAAATCTGAAGTTACTGAGCTTGACATCACTGAAAATATGAAAACTGTAACCAGAAAAAAATATGTGACCAAGGTGAAACCTGAAATGAAAAACAAAGAATGGTTGCAATACAGTACAAAGGAAATATCTAGTCAGGCTTCCAGAGTCGTACCTGAGGAGGAAGTGGAAACTTTCGAAGGTAGAACCAGCGGAATTACTGAAAAATCTGAAGTTACTGAGCCTGAGATCACTGAAAATATGACAAGTGTAACCAGAAAATATGTGACCAAGGTGAATCCTGAAATGAAAAACAAAGAATGGCTGCAATACAGTACAATGGAAATTTCCAGCCAGGCTTCCGGAATGGAACCTGAGGAGGAAGTGGAAACTTTAGAAAGTAGAAGCAGCGGAATTACTGAAGAAACTGAAGTTCCTGAGCCCGAGATCATTGAAAATATGACAACTGTAACCATACAGAATGTGACCAAGGTGAAACCTAAAATGAAAAACAAAGAGCTACAATACAGTTCAACGGAAATTACTGGTCATGCTTCCAGAGTGGAACCTGAGGAGGAAGTGGAAACTTTAGAAGGTATAACCAGCGATATTACTAAAAAATCTGAAGTTACTGAGCCTGAGATTACTGAAAATATGACAACTGTAACCAGAAAATATGTGACCAAGGTGAAACCTGAACTGAAAAACAAAGAATGGCTACAATACAGTACAATAGAAATTTCTAGCCAGGCTTCCGGAATTGAACCTGAGGAGGAAGTGGAAACTTTAGAAATTAGAACCAGCGGAATTACTGAAGAAACTGAAGTTCCTGAGCCCGAAATTATTGAAAATATGACAACTGTAACCATACAATATGTGACCAAGGTGAAACCTGAAATGAAAAACAAAGAGCTACAATACAGTTCAACGGAAATTACTGGTCATGCTTCAAGAGCGGAACCTAAGGAGGAAGTGGAAATTTTAGAAGGTATAACCAGCGGAATTACTGAAAAATCTGAAGTTACTGAGCCTGAGATTACAGAAAATATGACAACTGTAACCAGAAAATATGTGACCAAGGTGAAACCTGAAATGAAAAACAAAGAATGGCTACAATACAGTACAATGAAAATTTCTAGTCAGGCTTCCAGAGTGGAACCTGAGGAGGATGTGGAAACTTTAGAAGGTAGAACCAGTGGAATTACTGAAAAATCTGAAGTTACCGAGCCTGAGATCACTGAAAATATGACAAGTGTAACCAGAAAAGTTGTGACCGAAGTGAAACCTGAAATGAAAAGCGAAGCATGGCAGCAATATGATCTAACTGAATCAACTAGTCATGTTTCCAAAGTGGAACCTGAAGAAGTGAAAACATCAGAAAATGGCGCAACGGAAATTAGTGAAGAATCTGAAGTAACTGAACTTGCGCCCAGCGAAACATCAGAAAGTAAAATGAGCCTTACTACTGGAAAATCTAAAGTAACTAAGACCACTGGAATTATGACAAATGTATCCGAAATATATGTGACTGAGCTGAAACCTGAAATGGAAAGTGAGGAATTGAAACAATACAGTGTGACTGAAACTACTAGTCCGGCTTCGAAAGTGGAACCTGAGGAGGAAGTGGAAACTTCAGAACGTAAAATCAGTGGAACTTCTAGAAAATCTGAGGTTACTGATCGTGAAACTACTGAAGATATGACAAATGTAACCAAAAAATTTGCGACCAAGTTAGCACCTGAGATCAGAAGTGAGGTAATTACCAGTGAGACTTCAATAGTGTCCAATAGTGGACAAGAGGAAGAAAAAATTTCAGAACGTAAGATGAGCGGAACTACAGAAAAAACAGTAACTGAGCCTAAATCCACTGAAATTATGCCAGCGGCAACCAAAAACTATACGAAGAAGGTGAAACCTGAGACAAAAAGCGAAAGTAGAGAACAATACAGTTTCGCTGATGTTACCAATCAGGATTTCAGAGGGAAACCTCAAGGAAAAGATTTTGAGACCACAGGAATTACAACTGCGATAACCAAAAAATTCGAAACTGGGGTAATACCTCAGATTGAAACTGGAATTTGGAAACATTACAGTTTTGGTATTAGACCTACTACGGCAAAAAAAAGTAAAATGACAACTTTTGCAGAAAATAGCAGTTTAACACCTATTGAAACTTCTGAATCTTCAAATGAGACTGAACCAACAGATAATCTGGAGTTAACTATGGCAACCACTACTTTGGAAGTTGAGTCTCTTGACGATGAGAAAAAGAAATTGTTCAGCTTTGCTGACTTTCTGTTAAATACAAAGAACTTCGAAGCAACCTTAGGAATCACACCCGAAAAAGTTATTCCTGAAATGGAAGAAATGACGAACCTGTTTACAGATAATAGTTCTCCATTAGAAATATGGTCTTCAGAAGATTTCAAAAATATTTATCCCATTTCCTTGACAGAAAGTGAAACAGAAACTGAAGGTGAAGGGGTAATCCAGCCTATAACTCTTGAACAGCTAGCTACTACCTATAAGGAGTTCAGGGAAATTGAAAACGAAAAAGATGAATCAAAATCTGGGGAGAATGGAGAAATGAACTTAGGAATCTGGCAGAAAAGTACAGTGATATATGATGAGAACGAGGAACAGTTACCATCGCAAAAAATTGGAGAAGAGTTTGATATATCGGCTGAAATAAGAAGTAAAATACTTGAATCCGAACCAACTACTGAAAACACAGGTATTTTATTAATTTTTTTGGTTAGACCTAATGAATACAATTTTTCTTTTTCAACAAACTAGTTCATAATTGATTTTTGGTATACCTATATGCAATCGAAAATTTAAAAGAACATTCATCTTCATCCATGACGATATGCTCAATGTATTAACAATAGATACGCGGGAAAGTTTGTCGAATACATTTTCAAGGAATGATTACAAGTGTTGTTATTAAAAACATTGTTTGATTTGATCAAAGAGTGTGAACTTTCTAGATCGGTTGTAACTGTGTCAAAGCAATTTTTCGGGTTTATTGGCTTTAGTATTCTTGTTGTTTATCAGTAAAGAAACGTTTCTGCTCTATATGAAGAATGTTACGGACCGAAGTGGAAGATTACTGGAGAAACACAATGTAAAATCGGTACTCAGATTAACGAAAAACATCAGAGGAAGTATAAGGTCGGCTCCCAGAAGGCCTTCAGCATTCCGGGGTGTATCAGATCCCTATTAGCTGTGGATCGATCTGAATTGGAACCACGAAAAGGAGTTCCCGGCTCTCTGAATATAAGAGAAATTGTTGCTTGTGGGACACCAACACATCAGCAGTAGTGGAACGTGTACTTAGAGGAGGTATCCACGTCATCGAATCTAAGAGACCCAAGTGTTTGATAGAAATTTAGCTACTACCAAGACTATATCAAGAGGGGATAAAAATTTGAAAATCGGAAAGCGATAATCAACATCAATAAGGTCTGACTACCTGCACTATACAATACTTATTGTACAATACAATGGTTATACTATTGTTACAATAGTTACAATAGTTCATTCAATTTGACCAATAGAAATGAAGACACGCACACCATCAATGGAATAAATCCGAAGACTTGACTTTATCCCGAGAACAACGTCCGTTATCTCTTCGCCTTTGATAATGTCTACAGTAATCGTAGACAAAACGCCAGGAAAAACCTGCAGATCACGGCCAACAAACCCTGAATATAGCTTTGACACCTTTTCATTTTTTCTGTAGTCATAATAAAATACGGAAATTGGCTACCACAAAATGTGGGTTCAGGATACGGTTTTGAAAAAATTGTCTGAATGGGCAATAACGCTACTCAAATAAGAAAAGTGAATATCAGTGCTTTCAAAACAATACATTTGTCAGTTTATGTTTGGTTATATCTAATACTTTTTTATGTCTATTGAAAAAACATCAATAACTTTACCGATTCTTGTTGATAAAATAGTCAAAATGATCTATAATTCACACTTTCGAACCAATCACATTTTACCAGATAAGATGTTCGTACAAAAGTGGAAATTTGATTGTTGACTGTGAATTGTGAAAACTGTTCTTATATCTTGCCTCTTCAAAATTCGGCTCACTTTTTTGGATTTGAAATTCGGGATAGTTGTTTTGACGAAGGGCGGATTTGAATTCGTTTAGATCCTTGGATCTATTGTGGCTGTCTCAGGTCTATCAGACTCACTGACAGGCAGACTCACTGACAGGCGGCCACCCAAAAGATTTCCTTCCTTATATTCATGGAGTTACCAACAAAGTGACCCGAATTCTGAAGGGGCATGATATGAAAACAGTTTTCACACCCAATAATCAAATTTCCATTTTTTTACGTACACCTAAGGACACAATACCCAATGAGTCACATGGCATATACGAAATATCATGTTCCACCTGCTCCAGAACATCGACCAGACTAACAGAAAAGTCTCGAACAGAGCTTATGAACATGAGCCGTAAATGAGATCCAGCCTCATCCCTCTTCAAACAGGTCACACAATAAGCTTCGAAAACAGCAAAACCACTGCTACGGAAAAAACTTCTCGGGCCAGAATAATTCGTGAAGCCATTGGAATTGAAAAATGTCCCGATTGTCTTAACAAACGAGATGATTCAAAGAACTACCGCAAAGGTGGAGGTTATTGTCTCGCAACATCTCACTTTTTCACTGTCACCTTTCATATGGGATACTTCTTTGGGGTAGATCTAGTTAGGCGATCAGAGCTTTTCGCATGCAGAAAAAAGCCATGAAAATTATAGCTGGAGTTCCATTCGACGCACACTGTCAACCACTTTTTTGGAAATTGGGAATAATATCTTTGCCCTGTAGGTATATTGATTTTCTACTCACTGTTAGAAATACATAAAAACAAAATACTACTCTCCAAACACTCAGCTCATCATAATTATGAAACTAGAAATGCAGGCGGAACGTATTCTGATCGACATTTTGCGTTGGACACTCTGCAATTTTGAGACCAGTTTTAGGTTTTCTGTCGTTGTGTACCACGCTGGTGCGCCATAAAGTAATTGCGAGAGAGCCACACTCATTATTAGTTTTCTTTTCGACGCTATAGGTCCTTGCACATTTGGCATCATCCTCGTTAGGGCGGCTACGGTATTTTCTACTTTCTGGCATGCTTTGTTTACATGCTCAGCGAACGTTAGTTTCGTGTCCAACCAGACCCCCAAATACTTCACTGCTTTCTTTGGAAGCACTTGATGTCTTGCAGATCGAATTGTATAGGCTTTATTTTCCTTCTAGTCGTGAGAAGTGCTGCTTCAGTTTTTTGGTGCCAGTTTGAGCCTAATGAGGTGGAGCCAATTTATTATGCACTGAATAGCAGTATTGGTTGAATTCATCAGTATTTGCTCGTTCTGAGCAGCTACTACCACGGCTATGTCGTCGGCAAAACCAATCAGTGTGACGTCTTTTGGCATTTCAAGTCTTAGCAAACCGTCGCACATGACATTCCACAAGGTTGGACCAAGGACAGATCCTTGAGGCCCTCCGCTGTTGATCCTTCTCACTTTGGACTCATTTTCAGTCTTCATTATTATTTCTCTATTGGAGAGGTAGGATGCGATGATATTGATCAAGCTCTCGTCTATATTTCTCCTTCTCAAGTCATTTACAGTTATCTGCCAGCTGGCGCTGTTGAACGCATTCTTGACATCTAAGGTTATAACAACGCACAGTCTTCGATGTGCGTGAGTAAATTCTTCTTGAGTTCTCCTTGCAATTTCCAGCACTTCATTAATATCATCAACTATTTGGTGCCCTTCGATAAACCCATGTTGCCTAGGCGAGAGTCCCCCTGTTCGTTTTAGCTCTTTTAGCTTTATGCTTTAGCTTAGCCTTATGACAATCAGCTGTTCATACAGCTTTCCCTCTACGTCTAGAAGGCATATTGGTCTGAATGCACTTGGATCATCCATCGGCCTATCTTCTTTTCTCAGCAGCAGAAGTTTTGCTCGTTTCCACTGTATACTGCTAGTATATATTCCTCGTTGTTTGTTGCAAAAAATTCGAGTATTTTCGATGGGATATTTTCAGGTCCGGGTGCCTTGTTCGTTTTTAGTTTCGAGTGGGCATATCGTAGCTCATCCGGGCTAAAGTATGTGAAGACTGCATTATGATCGCACCTGAAGTTTACTTCGTCATGTATTGTGAATAGATGATTGACAACTCTTTCTACGGTATGCATGCTGATTTCTAGTCTTGGTGGGTAGCCTATCAAACTCTTCATTACGATTTTATAACCATCTCTCCAGATATCAGAGTCTACATTGTTACATATTGCTTTCCAACACTCTCACTTAGATTTTTTAATGCTGCACCGGAGAGT